TGGTACATGTTCAAAAACAACAAGCGACACCTAACGATGGAACCTCATTGCATCCAATGGCTTTTGGTAAATTTTTAAAAAAGAACTGCTTCAAGAACATTATTAATGGTAGCGTAAAAAAGATTGGCCGCAATAAAATGTCTGTCTCTTTTTCAACACACTATGATGCAAACGATTTTATTATCCACAACAGTCTTGTTACAAACAATTTAAAAGCATTTATTCCTTCATTCAACATCACAAGAATGGGTTTAGTTAGAGGCGTTCCTTCAGACTGGTCTCCCGAGGAGGTTAAAAGTAATATATCTGTACCTATAGGTTGTGGTGAAATCTTGAAAGTAAGACGGCTAAATTATAAAACCTTTGTAAATGATACCCCTACTTGGAAGCCATCTCAAACTATCGTTTTAACCTTTGATGGTCAAATCTTACCAAAACGCATATTTATGTGTTATAATGCTCTTAATGTAGATTTATACATATATCCTACGATACAATGCTACCAATGCTGCCGCTTCGGGCATACAAAGTCTCAATGTAGATCTAAACCTCGATGTTTCAAGTGCGGTCAAAATCATACAGGTGAGTCTTGTAATACTTTAGAAGAAGATGCATCCTGCTGCTTATGTGATGGATATCATTTTGCTAATAATAAGTTATGTCCAGAATTTGTAAGGCAGTCACAAATCAAACTTTACATGGCACAAAATTGTGTATCTTATGCTGAAGCTTCTAAATTGATACCATCTATTTCTAAGTCTTATGCTGAAACTGTAGCTGCCCCACCTACAAAATTGTCCATGAATGAGATGGAAAATAGTAGAGCTGTTCCCAATGTAAGCCCTAGGACATCTTACAAAAAAACAACATTTGTTAAACCTCGCTCTTCTCCTATTCCTACAAAGGGGTATGACACAGTTGCTCATAAAGCGTTATTAAAGGAATTTATGATTCCTTCACCTAATAATGGGTGTGGTTTTAATAATGATACTAATTCTGCATCAGTTACACAACTTCCTACAGATTTTATTACTGCTCTTTTCAATCTTTTTTCCCAGTTTAATCTCTTCCCACCGTCCAACGCTGCACAGAATATTGATAATAATATGAAACCAACTTTAAATGGACAGACAGACAGACAAAATAATTCAGTGGAATTGCTGTAGTGCTATTAGTAAAAAAAGTGAAATAATTTATTTACTAAATAAATATGAACCATCTATTTTAGTTCTATCAGAAACATGGTTAACATCACAAAAACACTTTCAAATTAAGGGTTATACTTCTTTAAGAGAAGATAGAAGTGATGGGTTTGGTGGTGTAGCCATTCTCATAAAAAATGGTGTTAATTATGATCCCATTAGCATATCTATAAATCATAAAGATATTTCAATTGTAGCAGTGAAAGTATATAATATTAACATAGTGTTGATTTATATCAGTCATCCATCTGCACCAATTTTTGGTGAAATAAATAATTTATTCTCTACCCTTCCCAGACCCTTCTTAGTTTTAGGAGATTTCAATTGTCACCATAGTGCATGGGGAAGTTCTATTATTAATAGTTATGGAGTAAATTTATTAGATATTATTGAGTCACATAATTTATGTTACTTGAACACAGGATCACCCACAAGACTCACTGATCCTAGACTTAATAAGAGTGCAGTAGATTTATCAATATGCACACCAAATTTGGCTTCTTCTTTATCCTGGCATACTTTATCTTCTACATTAGGAAGTGATCATTTCCCTATTATTATTACATTTCCGTTTAATAAACCTAGCATTTCCCAGAAAAAGTCTACTAGAAGATATAAATTACCTGATAAAAGTTCTAAAGATTGGATTACTTATAAATCTAATGTAGAATGCAAGCTTAAGTACCTCCCTGTTATTACTCATGGAAATGAAAACATTTGCGCTGAAGCATTATCAAATATTTTAAATGAAGCTGCCAGAGAGGTGTTTCCTGTCAAAGAAAATAATTGCACAAAAATACCATCCCCTCCTTGGTGGGATAAAGATTGCACTGAAGCGGTTAAGAAGAGAAAAGAGGCTGAAAGAATTTACAATAATAATATGTCTGAAGCTAACTATGAATACTTGTCTAAAACGATTGCTGAAACAAAAAGATTATTTAAAAAGAAAAAATTCGACAGTTGGAAAAGTTTCTGTAATTCTATTTCTCCTAACACACATCCTACTCTTGTTTGGCAAAACATAAAAAGATTTAAATCTTCATATAATATATCTTCTGGAATTACTATTCCCACCGAAATAACTATTAATTTCATGGACAAATTGGCCCCTTCATGGGTTCCCATGCTCAACACTGCACAACCTTCGCAGTCGTCTTATAATCAATCTGGTTTAAATAGCCTCTTTTCTCTTCGTGAACTGAAAAGTGCAATATATCATGTTAAAGATTCTGCTCCGGGGGAAGATGGAATCCCATATTCATTCTTTGCTAATGTAAGTGACAATATCCTTTTTTATTATCTACAACTTATCAACACTATCATGTTGACAGGAAACATACCTCTGTCATGGAAGTCACAAGTAGTGTTGCCCATCCTCAAACCAAATAAACCACCATCTGAGGTCAGCTCATATCGACCGATAGTTTTATCTTCTGTGCTAATAAAATTAGCTGAAATTTTAATTAAAAACCGTTTGGAATGGTTTGTAGAAAGTCAAGGTATACTATCGAGAACGCAATATGGATTTAGAAAAGGGAAAAGTACAATGGATAATATAAGTATTTTCACAACTGACATACGTATAGGTTTTACAAACAACGAATCTATAGTGGCTGCTTTTTTGGACATCAATTCTGCTTATGATAATGTGTTAGTGTCAGTATTAAAAAATAAATTAGAATCGCTAAACATCCCGTCAATGTTAACTAATTTTATTATGAACATATTAGAAGAACGTAATTTGATTGTTAGTTTATCTAGTTATTCAGAAATAAAAAGGACTGTATGGAAGGGGTTACCCCAAGGGTCAGTCCTTAGCCCTTTGCTATACAATATCTATACACATGATTTGGATTCTTGCTTCGATAATCATATAAAGCTTTTACAATATGCGGATGATTTGTTATTATATTCAACAAACCGATCAGTTGAGATAGCTGCGTCACATATTGAGTTGGCCTTGATTTCATTACACTCCTGGATGCTTACCAATGGCTTAGATTTATCTGCATCCAAAAGTACAATCGTAGTTTTTTCAAGAATGAGGAATCCCCCTTTAATTAGAGTTTATTATAATAACTTGCCTATACCAGTTGAATCACAAGCTAAGTTTTTAGGTGTGATATTAGATTCCAAGCTCTCCGGTCGCTCCCATATAGATTACATTATCAAGAAAACTGAACGACTATTAAATCTTCTTCGATGTCTGTCCGGTGTCTGGTGGGGGGCTCACCCTCAATCGCTCAAGTTGGTTTATAACGCGCTAATTCGAAGTGTATTGGATTATGGTACTTTCCTTTTAGAACCTGCCAGCTTAATTTCATTAAAAAAATTAGACGGTATTCAATCAAAAGCACTTAGAATTATAACTGGTGCTATGACCTCAAGCCCAATTAATGCTTTACAAATCGAAACTTGTGAACCCCCACTCAGTATTAGACGACAATTTCTTGCAGATCGATTTTTGTTCCGATCTCTTCAATTCTCCGACCATCCTCTTTTCCACCTACTTAACTCTCTGAACAATGAAATAACTACAGCTAGCTATTGGTCTCATAAACAACTGCCTTGTTTAATAGTAAGCTATCAAAAATACTTGATCCTCCATTCACCTATACATCGGTCAAATCGTCTTCCAGTGTTTAATATAGATTATGACGCCTTGCTAATTTCACCATCTGTAAGGTACGATCTGATAGATAAACATAACGCTAAAACCTTTAAATCAATTATAGATTCCGAATATGAAAATTACCATCATATATACAGTGATGCTTCTAAGTCTTCCTCTTCTGAATGTACGGGCGTAGGAGTCTACCACTCTCAGTTTTCCATTGTGCAGAAAAGTAAACTTCCTCCGGAGACATCTGTATTTACGGGGGAATGCCTAGGCTTACTAAAAGCTGTTGAGTATGTCGTTCTCATGAAACTAAATAAATCAATAATATTTTCTGATTCAAGGAGTGCTTTACAAGCTATTGATAATTTTCCATTCCGTACAAGATTATATAACCCACTTGTGTTTGATATAAGAAATAATCTTTATAAATGTGTTAAAAAAGGGTATCTGGTAGAATTTGTGTGGCTTCCAAGTCACGTGGGAATTCAAGGTAATGAGAAGTCTGATCAATTAGCAAAAGAGGCAGTACACTGTGGAGACATGTTTCCTTTTAAAATTTATACCCATGACTTGTTGTTGTTGCCGTTGTGTCATTTGCATAAGGAGTGGCAAACTTATTGGACAAATAGTGGACAAGTAAAGGGAAAACATTATTATCAAATACAACCTAAAATTATGATGAAACCGTGGTTCCGTAAAATTAAGATCAGTAAGACTGCTACTAGTATTTTAATACGCTCGAGAATTGGTCATGTTAGTACACCAGCACATCTTACTAAGCTAGGAATTGTTAGTGATGCTTCCTGTAGGTGTGGGTCAGACTATTGTGATCTTAACCACATATTGTTTTCTTGTACACTATACGATCGATCCGAATTCTTTAAAGATCTCATATCCTTACGTGTTTCCTTTCCCACATCCATAGTTTCTTTGCTCTCGTCTAATAACATATCAGTATATCAATGCATAGCGTCTTTTATAATGTCAAATAATATTAAAGTCTAAATATCGTTATTCCTTTTTATGTATGTTATATAACGTATATATTTTACATATATTAATATTTTCGTTTCCTGATCCTATTGCTAAAATCTTGTCGCAAATCCTATCCTTTTTCCTACCATCGTTTCCCTACCTTTGACACTGGCAAATACACAAACCGTGTGACGCCAAAAGAAGAAAAAAAAAAAAAAAAAAAAAAAGGTAAAGAATTTTGTATTACTATAATAACATACTGTTACTGTTATCAATGATATATTTTAATTAATCTCTAGGAGACTTCGTCATGCTCCCAACAAGCCGAAGTAAGTAAACTAACCTTAGGTATAAATTCATGAGGGTTCCTGCCATTTATTTTTATTATCTTTATTTTTTAGCATGCCTGCAATTGCGATTAGGTTTATCTTATTTGAGGCACTATTCTACAGCACCAAAACCATTACAGGAAAATTCAACTGAAGGTGAGTAAATACCTTTTTGTATTGAAAACTATTTTCCATTTTTCTGCAAGTAGTAAGATATCGGGATAATGTAATGTTATAACTATATTAGTTTTGATTTCACCTTGATTTTCCATGGACAACTTTGAAAAATAAATTTTCAAAATTCCAATTTTATGTTTGATTATTTTGACATTAGAGCGAATTAAAACTTTGCAGTATATTGTACATGGTTTTCATGAAATAAAATTAGCTTATTCACAGTAATTACTTCAAAAATGTATGTATGGTATTTATAAAGAGCATCTCAAAAGCAGTCAAACCTGACTTCCTTCATGCATGATCACCACAGGCAGCAAGGCTACAATTGTAACTGGATCTGTCCAGCACTATGTATTTCTCCTTTACCTTTGAAATAATAATAATAATAATAATAATTTATTTATTTACTCTTCACAATAGTTTTCTTAGAACAATAAAGAAATTATAAATTTTATGTATATATCCGTATTGTGAAGAGCTGGTGTCTGAAATAGGTCTTTTTTACAAGACCCGTTACACAGGTCACCAGTGCTCCTTCCCGCGGATATTAATACTACTACTTTAATAGTATCAAGGCTTACACTACATTATTATAATACAATCCTCACAAAATTGAAATCATGTATACTTGTAATATATATATATTTATATATATATATATATACTTAAAACAGAGGAGGTTATCAATTTGATCAATGTTTTTAATATATATGTGCCATACTTTCATTGTTAGTGGACCAATTTTGATAACAATTTTATCTGGGAGGATGTATTCCTAAATATAGCTTGTGGTGTTGTTTTTTTTGTGGTAAAATTGAAAAATAAGATCTTAAAACTAAAATTTCTTTTTAAAATCAAATTTAATATCCTAAGTGAGTATTCCTGACTATTAAATAAAAAACTTATTTATTTCTTGCAGATGTAAAATTACCAGTGAATCCCTTGGAACATCCTGACTATTTTCAAGTTCATAATTTGTTTACTGTGAAAGATTTATTTGATGCTCGTGTTCACTATGGCCACAAAGAGGGGTCACTAAATGATTATATGAGGCCTTATCTTTATGGGTCAAGACTTGGTCATTTAATATTTGACTTGGATATTACAGCAGAACATTTACGAAAAGCACTTAATTTTGCTGCGCATATTGCTTATAGAGGTGGTATAATTTGTTTCTTCAACAGAAATGCTATGAATTCTCATAAAGTAGAAAGAACTGCCAAAGAATGTGGGGAATATGCTCATACAAGGTTTTGGCGAGGAGGCATATTTACAAATGCTAATTATCAGTTTGGTGCTGTCACAAGACTTCCAGATCTGTGTATATTTCTGAACACACAGAATAATATCCTCAATCAACATACAGCAGTTCGAGACAGTGCAAAAATGCTAATTCCTACAATTGGTATTGTAGATTCAAATTGCAATCCCAACTTGATTACTTATCCAGTGCCAGGAAATGATGATACACCTGTAGCTATAGAATTATATTGCAAATTATTCAAAGAAGCTATTCTAAGAGGCAAAGCTGAGAGGATGAAGTTATTACAAGAAGTCAATTAACATCAATAATAAAATTTAGATATAGAAATTCATTATAAATAAAAAAACAAAGTATAAAACATCATTCTCTTTTATTTATGTAAATTAAAAACTAATGACCATAATAAGGCAGAATATAACTAAAATTTTCAACCACAACAATAGCAATTTGTAACAAAACAGATATACAAAAATCTAACATTTTCAAAGGATAAAAATGATATTCATTATAAACTTAAACTATGGATAAATAAATACAGAAATAGAATTTATTGGTTTTATCCTAGTAGAACCTTCCTCATCATGTGGGGATGAGCATTGCTGTCCATTTCACGACTCTCCCAACTGCCAGTGATACATTTTGAACTACAAAGATATTGTAAAAGTGGTATCCTATATTTACCACAAAAATCAACAAATTTGATATGCTCCACGCGGTTGTCGAAATAAACACCTGTAAACAAAATCATAAAAAATAAATGCGTCTCCACGCAGTTTAATCAATGCATGATTGGATGCGTATTAGAAATACATCAGAAATGATATAAAAGCGTTCACTTTGTTCGGCGTGCGCACGCGGCTGGTGCCCGCCTCCCGTCTTTGTATTGCAAGATAAGATTTGTACACAGGCAGGTTCGTTTGTTTTTTGTAATCAGTTTAGTTTCGCTACATTTTTTCCAAATAATGTTTACCATCAGCCTATTACATCCGTTTTCACTAACCTAAAACAAGGCATAGCTTGACTAGGAAACGCCTAATCTTACGAATCGCTTAAACAGATTAGTTTAATTCTTAAAATACCTAGAGCCAGGCGCCGCATAACGCATATCGTAACTTTAATATAGTTTCATGTTTTAGGTGATTCTTAGTCATTGGTGAGATGCACGTTTGGCGATTCCTAAATATTTTTTCGACAGATCCTAGTGAAAACGAGCATTAATATTCCCGCTTCTGGAGTTCAAGCTTGCCCTAAAGATTGAATAGAGAGAATGGGCCATGACCAACCGCGCAAGCCTCATCCAAGGTTATCCATCCTATGACCACCCATTGCGAAAGTTGCTTAACAACCATATTCCAGACCGAGCGCGCTAGCCGCTGCGCCATTGAACTCCTGCTAAATAATATTAGCAAATATTTATAATCCATGGTAGCCCATGCAGTAGCTGCTGCTGGATGCAGCCTCGAGCGCCGGTCGCTTCGGTCGCGTCGCTGCACGCTTAACTTAGCAAATGCTCTAATTTTAATTCCTCACTTGCGCGCCCATTACTTAATATTCATGGATATCGATATTGATAAAGTTGAAATATCTATCATATATTATTTTGATATGTATACCATACCATTGTGGTACGATATCTAAGATTATACGAGTATATTAATTATTAGATTATATATTAAATTGAAGTACGATTATATGATAGGTACTAATATAAGTACCTATTTGTTTTCCAAATTGAATTGTAACAGTAGTAGCTATAGTATTTATTACTTATAATTGTGAAATGACATTTCTACGGTACACAAATATCCAATTCCTCGGCGGGAATAGTTAGAAACCGCGATAAAGGGAATTCGCTTGTATAGCAAATAGCAAGGTCGCCGAACAGAAACAATGTTGTACGAACACCCGACATTACATATCCATTTTACTTTTACATATTGCTATTGCGTTCGTACAGATGCATCTAGCCATTTGTCATTGTAAAATGAACCTACAATCTAGGGTGCGAACTCTCGCAATGTTGTATCGATATTTTGATTCAATATACTACATCTATCGAAACATAAAGAATGATGATTATGGATTGACAGCAGTGTTACCAACTTACTCGTTTATCCACCAAAAGTCTATGTCAAAGTAGTAATATGAAACGATGTATAGTCATAATATCGCTAAGATGTCGTATTCTATGGCTAGACTCGTTCATATAGCTAGAGAGTTAGGCGGTCGCACCCCAGCTCGTGTAGCATTACAAACTCGAGAAACGCTTTGTCTACACTCATTTGTCAATTTCTCGGGTCGAAAGTGAGATATATAATAGTATGGGCGCACTCGAGAAAAGTTCATATAGGCAAACGGGAAATTAGGCAACGGCATGGCATGGAAAACAGATTATACTTTAATTATTAGAACCTTAAAATGCACTACCTTAAAAGAAATTGACTTTTGTTCTTTGAACATTCATCAATAAAAATATAAAACCAGACCATCAGTACAGGAGTTTGTTTTGTCATCTGCAAACCTACACTCTTTAATCCGAGTATATTTTGTTGTGACTTTTTTTGGGCACCGTTAAGGTGTTTTCCTAGAGTGCCAAGCAAGGGTGGATCCAGGGGGTGTTCACTCATGACACCTGGGCTGGGTCCAGGACCTAGGTGGACTACTAATTAAAATTGTTCTACATAATATTTTTCTTTTTATTTAGGTAAGTACTATCAAAATTGAATACAAAGTATTATATTAATTAATTAAGGGACAAAGTTTTTACCTATTATTATCAAAATTAACTGCTTATGTCTTGAACATGACTACTAGACCCCCAACCTGGCGCCAAAGCTGGATCCGCTCTTGTTGCCAAGTTACATTGAACCGGCGCTGTCTTAAATTGCTCATGTATCATTTCGATGGAGTTATGGTGTACGGGGTGGGGTCAGCAGCCTACGACATCCTGTATTTCCGTATAACAAAACGTACTTCTACGCGGAAACGATAAAGTTCTATGGATAGCGATACATATCGCTTTCTTTTTACGTTCACATAACATTTGTGTTATAGTTCGCTTTTTCGCTTGCCTGGGACACGGACTAGGAACTATTATGAACATTTTATAATTCAACTGATATATTTAAAATCACATTGTCGATTCAAGTAGTTTTATAATAATGACAACCCGAAACTAAACTGACGAATAGTCATGCCCGTAGTGAAATTGACAAAAAGTGCTGCCAGTAGTAGTCGATTCCCTTTAACAGTACCATTATTCTTACCTCTACACTTTGGGTTTACACAACATTGAGCTGCGTTAAGATAGTCGATCAAAGTGGTTGGTACATCTCCCATTTGAATTGGTATCTCATGCAGTTTGATAGTCCGACCAGCCAGTTCTAGAAGGGACGGTGGTTCCAATGTCATGTCGCGAATGAAACGCGAAACCAGTGGATTTTCGCGTAAACTGAGCTGCAAAACAGAAACAAGCAATTTAAAGAAAGCTATAAGTCGTTAAATAAAACTGCCTTATTATCAAATAATTGATTTAGAAACCTATTGCTATAGCCGTAGCCCGAACTCTAAGGGGTTGAGTTATTTATTAATATACAGTTCCTACTTTGTGAATAATTACAACATTATAGTAACATTAACCTTATGCCCGCACCATGCATATTCGTGAACACGCTTCTTTGTTCAAATAAGCGCACGATTATGTTACAAAGTATCAAAATTATGAATAATTTTTTGTATACTTATAGACTGAGCCTTTTAATTTTTTTTAAATACCTAGGTAGGTACGTAGGATCTAGTTAGTGTTTCCCTCTATCTGTATCTGTTTACTGCTAAATTTAAATTATTAGTCTAAAAGGAAAAAATAACAAAACAATATTTATTCGTTTTTCTTTACTTTATATACGCCTTTTATCCATATACGCAATATGGAAAAGGGCAAGCCTATTCTTACATTTCATAAATAGAAGGGGTGAGGTGGTCATTAACTGATAAAAATCGTTTTAAATAATTATCCATTATCTTTCATTTCAATGCTCCTCTACATTTATGTTTCAAACCAATGAGAAATCTGTTTTTTTTTTGTCGCTAAGCCCCGGCGTGATTCCGACTCACTCTTGGTCGGTTTTTATTGCAAACAAAGTGATCCGATCGAAATAATTTACATTTTCAATATTAATGTAATAAGTTTATTTATTTATTTATTGTTGAGTTTATTTATTTATTTAAAAGAAACACCAACAGCGCACATACTAAACTAAGTTTTAAATTGAACATAATTATAAAGATTCTGGTATGCACACCAATTATAGGTGTTTACAACGTTTACAAAATATTGGAATAAGTTAGGAACTATGCAAGTTTGGTACTACTAAATTAGGATAATTAAACCCAATTTAACCTAAATTAAACTTTTGATTTTGACTTTTGATAAAAAGGTAAATATTAGCAGTTGATACTAGATACTGACTAGCAGGGTGAACAAGTATGCGAGTTTTATCTTATTGGATTAGATAAGATATGTATGCTAGACATTACGTATTCTACTGTTAGACTTTAATAGATCTACGAATTGTAATATTCAATAGTTAGCTACATTCTGATGTAGGAAAAATCCAAATTTTTATTCATTAATTCAACCTGCCAAGTGCTAAGGGGACTCACCCTCCGCGGATTCTGTGGAATTATAAAAACCAGGCTTTTTATAGTAATTTAATATATAAATTTGTTACACTTACCTCTGTAAGACATGTTAGTTTTATTATTTGCGTAGGTAGAGTCTTCAGGCGATTTTTGTGTAGTAGTAAAGAACGTAGCTGTTTCAAGTTGGCTATGTTGGCCGGCAGCTGTTCTATGAGGTTGTCGCTTAAAATTAATGCCTGCAAGCCCACTAACCGACCCACAGACTCAGGTACCTCCGTGATTTGGTTCCCACCCATTGATAAAATCTGTAAGCTAAAAAAATTGCTTTCCTTTATTAATCGACCTTTATTGTAAATGTGCGCCCTTATATCTCTCTGTCCTCTGCTTCAAAGTAACGCACATAGATCAAAACCTAAAAAAGAACTTTTTGCTCTCCTTAAGATAGTATTGAATATGTAATTTCTTCTTCTATTGAATTATGAACTGGGCATCTCAGCTAATTAATTTAAATTTTTTTTTTTAATTTGTCTCTTTATGGATAAAAATGTAGAGCATTCAATTTTACCGCTATGGGTAATTGCCTACCCCTTTGCCCTTAAATCGGACCTTGAAAACTGCCTACTTTTGCTTTCGTAGTTAAACAGCCTGTTGCACAAACAACAAAAATTATCATAAGCTAAGAGCGTGATTACCCATACAAATTTGACATTCATTAGAGCTTAAAGGCGTCATTAAACCTTAATGGACGTTTGTGCAATTGACCGCTAGTCCTGATTAAATAGTATACCTACTTCTCAAACTTCTAGAGTTGTAGTCACTGAATGTGAACACCACTCTAAACGAATGAAAGTATAGTATGTTAGGAGAGGAATATACTCGTATATTATTTGAAAGGTTGTATGTTTTTGTGAGTGCCCTCTGGTATGCTTTAGGTGCTTTAGTCAAAAAAATTCCGGAGTGTTGAGGGAATGTCGTAACATAACTAAACTGAAAGGAACTATGAAAGGAAAATCTCCTAATATAATTTACCGACTATAATATATACCAAACCCATTTCTAGATATACTCAAGACATCATAAATAATTTGTATAAAATATTTAATAATTATTTCTTGAACTGATAAACCTTGATAAAGTCATACTTAATTTTTTTTTTGTTCTTCAACATTGTTTATTTTTATTATTCACTTTCCATATTTTAAAATATTGAGTAATCCAATATGCCCTTTATGAATGTCGTAGGCGCTGGTCTAGTCGCCTAAAGATTAACATAGCCTAAAATTTCATGGACAAAGCAATTAGATATGAATATTTTTTCTTAGTTGTTTGCATTGATCTGGTTCCGAAATTATTGGATCGTTTTTAAAAACTATCTACGGGCTGTAAAATACATTATGATATCATAACACTGTTACGCAGACTATAAATTACTCGAGCGAAGTTGCTGAAAAATAATAAATAAAAAGAATAATCATTTTGTTTAACAATATACCTACGCAGATATTTATTTCATAGTTCGTGTGATTGTGTCACCCAGTGTCCCCTTTATCTCCCAACTTTATCTCTTTTAGGAATCCTGTGTTTGCAAGCTTATTTTATGTGATACTGACCCATACAGTTATGTATATTGAATGGCGCCATTCAATTGCACGCCTAGTTTTCTAGTTTAATCATTATAACATTTGGACCATTCGACAAGACGGCTGATATATAAGCTGTCAAAACGTTAATTTAGTTTTGTTGTCTGTTAAAAAAATGCCATCGAAATTTAATTTCTAATCACGTGACTCACAGGATCAAAATAACTTCCTTGTTTATCATTTTATATTCTTATTATGCAACACCAAACTTCGAAATCGTAATTAATATACTAAAATAATCGCAGTCAATACATTGCTTACTCTTCTTGTTCTTGCTTACTTTTCGATAAATGGCGCCGTTCGCAGTTTCGGTGTTTTAAAAATTTATTATAAAAGTTTAAGCTTCATCTACTTGCATTATTTACACACCAATAAGTTAGCTTCCTGTATTAGATCATACGGACGGACTATTAACACCCAGTTGCGAATACCTAGCACATATTATCTTTTGATCAGTCCTGTCGATCCATCGATTACAGATCGTAACAAACAAACAAACAAGGAGTTTTTGAGTTTTATTTAAAATCAACCACTACAATATTTATTATGTTTAACTTCTAATCCCACCAATAAATTTCGGTATGCCCGTTGAATTGACAGTTAATATGTTGTCTGACCTTTGTTCAGCCATATTCCAGAGTCGATAGTCAGCCCGTTAATTAAATGGCGCCATTCAACAAAAGGGCTAGTCTCCCAATTGGTCTGTTGATTATGCCATTTGGCTGCGACAGATACACCAACAATTATTTTTGAGGTCGGTGCCACTCTTTTCATTATTATGAAGTAAAACAGCACTATCAGAAAATCTATTTTTTTTACCATACATGATATTTTTCTTATAAATATCTGGCACCGACCTCTTTATTGAAGATAAAAATTTGTAGCATTTCTCTCTTTTCAGTAGTTTCTCTTTATTACGATTTTTTGAAGTCGGCTCAATTTTTTTATTGTTTTTTTTTTTATTCTTTTATTTATAATAGAAGTTATCACCGATCCATATTAATTACATCTATAATTAAACATACTTATATTTGTACCGGATAAATATTTTCTGTGATGGTAGTAGGCTAATTTTTCTCTCATGTTATATCCTAAGTTAAAAATTGTCATTCAAACAAAAAAATTTAATTTCAATCCACTGTCTAATTTACGAGAAATACGTTGTCAAACTTATAGACACCCATACATAATATACACATATATAATATACACCTACAAAATGTAGCACCCGTGCTAAGAAGCGCATATCGTTCACTGAATAGTACAGTGGCACAACTCAAAAATCATAATTTCGAGAAACGCTCTCCGAAGTTATGAAAATTTAATATATTTATAATTTAGAAAATCAATTTTTTTAGCATAACCGTTAAATTGTTTGTATTATATTATTACTGTTAAGTTTTTATTTTTTCTTTAACTTTTCTATGGGATGCTACCACAATGTTGTGGCGTTTTCTCGAAATAATGGTTTTTGAGTTGTGCCACTGTACTATTCAGTGAGCGATATAGACTAACCTAAATGAATATTGCGCCATATTCCAACAAAATTACATACACACAGGTAAACTGACGGCTTCCTTTTTTTGAAGTTTATTAAAAAGGTCATAAATTTTAAATCATTTTATAAGTCGGTTTATTTATACTCCTTTTATAGTTTAAATAGCTTAAATTTAAATAGTTTATATCTTCATAACTACCGATGAAATTTGTAATATACCCTAAGTTGAAAGCTAAGCAATCAAACAAAAAAGACATAGGTACATACATCTATAAAATTTTGGACACGTGTTCATACAGAACCAACAGATGCAAATAATACGCCATTCTAACGAAATTACATGCACTTAAATTTGATAATCTCCTTTTTAAGTTGGTACAGACTAAAGTTGTAATATACCCTAAGTTGAAAGCTAAGCAATCAAACAAAAAAGACATAGGTACATACATCTATAAAATTTTGGACACGTGTTCATACAGACCAACAGATGCAAATATCACGCCATTCTAACGAAATTACATGCACTTAAATTTGATAATCTCCTTTTTAAGTTGGTACAGACTAAAGTTGTAATATACCCTAAGTTGAAAGCTAAGCAATCAAACAAAAAAGACATAGGTACATACATCTATAAAATTTTGGACACGTGTTCATACAGACCAACAGATGCAAATATTACGCCATTCTAACGAAATTACATGCACTTAAATTTGATAATCTCCTTTTTAAGTTGGTACAGATTAAAGACTTCGTAAGAACCTAATATTCAAACTTACATCTAGAAATAGAAACTTCTGTGTTTGAAAGTGAGGTAATAATATCAACGCTAACTTTACATTCAACAATGTTGTATTACTACATTATAAATCATCATCGTAATATCTCAACGATAAATTAGACGGAACTAAATTACCCCACTTAATATTGTTTATTTTGCTTAGAATCTCAACAGTCTGTGTACCGTTATTACAATGTACATATATTTCATAGACAAAGTGATTAGTTAGGCATTAAACATTTAAAAAAATGCCCACACAGTATGAACAATGCCTAATACGAGAGGGCAATTTGATAAGTACTAAAGAAATAATAAAATTGATCGGGCATTACCGGAATATGGAGTGGTAATAAGGGCATGGAAATAAGTTTATTTGACTAAACATATTTTGATATAACAAATTATAAAGCTATATATAACTCTATATATGACCCCGATCGCAAATTTAATTCTTACTATTATAGCTTTGTCGAGAATAAAAATAAGCGAAAAAATTATAACTACTAATCTTATCTATATGGTCAGAGGTTAAGATAAAATAAAGAGCAAGTACTCATCAAATTTATATTATGTATTATGATGAAAAAATCCTTATTATTATTTACATATTATACATAGTTATCCAAAAAAATAGAGGGAAACTAAGACGGAATATTCGACTTCAAATATTTCAAGGGGGATTCTGAAATGGAAGGGGATCAAGTTTTCTATGCAATATCGCAGAGAACGTATCTGGCTGGCCTTAGAATAAGGTTTTATGCGGTTTTGTGTATGTAGAGAAAGGAGCTCTGGGCCGAAATATGGGATTGTATACTGTACCCTGCTCGGTGCTGAGCAATCTACTTATAAAAACTGTAAAATCTACCGGATTACAGTACCCTGTCAAGTAATTGGAGATAGGAGGTAAAAGAGATTGAATATCTAGGGCATGCTTTTAGCAAGTATCGAACGTATAACGTAATAAAAACTTTTTATAAAAAGCAAAACCGACTTCAAACTTAAAAAGGGGATAAATAATACTCACCTCGAAAGCGACTTATTCAAGAAAATACTATTATACTATAATATTAGGTTATTAATTAAATGATAGGCGCCCGATTCAGTGGCATTTTCTTGTATAAGTCGCTTTTGAGATGAGTATTATTTATCACTTTTTTAAAGTGTAAAGTCGATTCTAATTTATATAAAAAGTTTTTATTTCATACATTTTACTGATGTTGATATGTTTGTATACAATAGGTAACATTAAAATATCTAAATATGCAAATAAAACTATATAACATAGGTAGTGAAAGTCTTAGAATAGTTGTTTATTTGTTCGACATATTTTTTCCAATAACACTCGTTTTGCCACATAAACTTTGATAGCTAATTTTGTTTTATCAATCTACCCTCATTATTAAATCACAGTTTTCATATGTCAATTAACCTCATATTTGTTGTGATACGGTAATACTAATAACTCATACCACTGCAGTAAATAATTTACTGCACACATGTAAATACAGAAACGCTTACATGTAAATCGTTATAAAAATATTTGTCGTTCAATTTGAACACTTTTTTGTGATTTATTAACCGGAAGTGTAATAATGATCCCAACTGTTTTTGTTATGTCAGCGGAGAACTTACATTCAAAAAACAACAACGACATTTTACGAATCTTGTGTTAGAGTGTTATCACCAATGTATTGCCTTTCCTGTCGCCCATCAAGACAAATCCTGGGCCCCTCATGTCTGTTACATAACGTGTGTGAAAAAATTTATTGATTGGAAAAGAAGTGCACGACCTATGCCGTTTGCTGTACCCATGATATGGACTGAACAGCGAGATTACGTTTCAGATTGCTATTTTTGTCTCATTAACATAAAAGGTATACATTAAAGAAAAAAAAACACAGTTATTTATTTACCCTAACTTATCTTCGGCTATAAGACCAGATTCTCATTGTAAGAAATTGCCAGAACTACGTCTGTTGAGAACAACAATTCACAATCGTCGCACTTCAGGTCAATGTGTTGACGAGGACGACGACTTTGAGTTTGAAGGAATTGTAAACGAGCCACATTTGATAACTCAAGGAGATCTAAATGATTTGGTTCGGGATTTAAATTTGTCAATAAAGCAGTTCGAACTATTAGGATCTCGTCAAAAATAATGGAATTTGCTACATCATAATACAAAAGTTAGCTATTTACGAAACCGTGATCAACACTTCAGAAAGTATTTTCTGAAGTGTTGATCAGGATCGAGATTTGGTGTTTTGCAATAACATAAATGAGATGATGAAAATGTTAGACATAGATTTTGATATCTCTCAGTGGCGTTTATTCATTAATTCTTCGAAAGCATTTCTAAAAGCAGTTTTATTGCATAATGGTAATATGCTTCCATCTATACCTCTGGAACATGCTTCAAATATGAAAGAAACCTATGATAATTTGAAACTTTTACTTGAAAAAACGAATTACAGTACATATTCCTCCAAAATCTGCGGAGATCTTAAAGTTCTTGCACTATTACTAGGAACTTCAGCTGGGTTATACAAAGTTTTGTTACAAAAAAAACATGGCGTATGTGTGCATCGTTAGTTCCTGGGCAAAAAAACGTTAACTATTTACACCTTCTACAGCTAAATAATGTGCTTCCGCCACCATTGCATATCAAATTAGGGTTAATAAAACAAAAATTGTTTCTAAAAGAAAAAATCCCTAAAATAAGTGATGCAAAGATAAAAGAGAGTATTTTTGTTGGCTCTCAAATTAGAAAGTTAATAAAAGATTCAAGATTTGAAGAAAAATTAAGCGATTTAGAAAAAACTGTATGGAAGGATTTTAAAAATATTGTTGAGATTTTTTTGGGTAACCATAAGAGTGACAGTTACAGAGAGCTGGTTAGCGAGCTATTATTGTCATATGCATTGGGTTGCAACATGTCACATGAGATCGATTTTTTAGCACCTGGATTTTTTTCCTGACAATTTACGTGGCTGTCAACGACGAACACGATGAGAGGTCCTCTCAGGATCAGGACATTTCTAATATAGAAAAGCGGTACAAAGGCAAATGGGGCCCAAATATGTTAGCAGATTACTCTTGGGGATAGCAGGTACAATTAAAAGGGATAAACCAGAATTCAAGAAATTAATAGATTATTAAGTCATCATAGTAGTCATAAAAAATCTTTTGATTTACGAGATCTGTGTTTTTTCTTAATATTTTAAATTATCCAATAGAATAAAATCCTTGTCTAGCGATTTTTTTTCTTTTTTCTTACAATATCAATAATGTCCGTGTGGCACGACAAAGTAGAAATTTTGTTGACCAGTGTATCTATATTCATATTGTATTTTAAAGAGGAAAGATTTGATTGTTTTTTTGTTTGTTTACATTAGATAGGCCCCGAAACTATTGGACCGATTTATACAAGTCATTCATCTACGGGAAGCTAAATACGCGGCGGACATAGGCTATGTTTTACGCAGGCGAAGACGCGGGGAAACAGCTAGTTTGATAGGAAAAAAAAACATACATCAAAGAGTAAAGTATACATACTCGATGAACATAGAAAATCTTCAGATTTTGAACTACGCAGATTTAACAAAGTAACGATTACAGACTGCATTTGTCAAGAAGAATAAAGCAAGAAAATTGATCTGAAAGATAGTAGTCGGCGTGAACTTTGGCGTGGCACGATGTGAAAAGAATGCTAGACATAAAAGTGATCTGATGCGCACGTTGATGGATATCGAAACCAGGGTGCAATGCGTCACTCTCTAGTCTTGCTTCTAGAAAATATTCTATATTTCTCGGTCTCTAGCGAATCTGGATTAGCCCTAGCAAAAGCTCGAAGGCAATGCAATTCTCGGGACACCTTTTCGCGTCGTATCCTGTGTCTAGAGTCATGGGTAGAGATTTATTAATTTGAATATCAAGAATACGTATTGTTTGTGGCGCTCGCTTAATGAAGTGCCTACCTCGCAGTGCAATGGATCTAGTGTGCAGATATAGATGGGATAGGAAGAAATATTTCGAGTTGGTATAGTGGCATGTCTGAATATGAAACAAAATCATACAATAGGACCATTATCCTATTGTAGAATTTCGTTATACCACTATACCAAAGTAATTGTACTTAGTAGTACTTAGCTACTAATACTTTTGTATAAAAAAAAAACATTCACGCTCGGACAGGTTACCTGCCGCAGGTAGATACAGTGAATTGCAAAGACCTTTATGTAATGTAATAGATTTGTACAGATCGGCTTAAGTTGGGATATTGTAGAGATGCCAACCATTGTGTTTTCTACGACATATCCAATTTTTATTTGTTTTGATAAAAGCAATAAAAGTCTGACAATTTATAATGATAAGTTACGGGCGACCACGGGCGACTTATAAGTGCTTGCATTACCTAGAGTGAAACTCTAGATTAATGTCTAATTATAGCTTACACAAAGTTATAAAGATTCCTGGATTTTGATAAAAAAACCAAAGTCGAAATAATAAAAAATAAATACATATTGCATCTCACCCGATTGCCATGGATACTCTTTTGAAGTTTTATTATGCTGGGTAGGTGTTCGTAACTAGCGTTGCCATGCCATGTTATAATGAGGGTAAAAGAAATTACAAAACTATGGATGATAGAGCATAGCGACGTTGTCAAGTTACAAGAGTGGACGAAATAGCGCACGAAAATTTAAGCCGGACAGTAGGTATATGTATAAATCCAGATGGACGACAGCAACCCCATTAGACACTTTTTGTGTCGTGTTGTGCCGTAGCGTGGCGCACCAGAAGCATATTGTTTTCGTTTAGTTTCACAAACGGTAATTAAAACTGTCCTTAATTTAAAGCGTAGTTTAAAGCGACATTACCCATACAAATTCATTAGAGCTCACAGGCGTCATTAAAGCTTAATGGACATTTGTGCAATTGACCGATAATCGATACAAATTTGACATTCATTAGAGTTTGAAGGCGTCATTATACCTTAATGGACTTTTGTGTGTCGAGGGAGAAATATATCCGTTTCGTTCTAATGTATGAAAAAAGATACTGCGATAGCTACAAAGACACAAAAATGTTTTTTCTCCTTTATATTAACGAAATGCTTCTAATGAAGATGATACCACTATCAATTACGACGTATTGACAAAATACCTTTGCTTTGATTATATGTACTATGTTGTATTTCGAGTTTAATATTAGTTACACCCACTTAATTTCTGTTAACATTGTCAAAGTCAATAAAATGTGGTAAATAACTTCTTTATATTAATAAGATGAGAAACCTCAAATTTTATACTTGTAGATAATATCTACCTTTATATTATAAAGGATATGGATACAATAGGCTGTGCAGTAAAATATTTGCATAACAATCCAATACCTATTATAACATAACTTGGCTTTATAATGCTGGGAACAAAGAGATAAGCATACTTGTTTATATACGGAGAAGACAATTATATACTACAGTATATAAGATTTAAAGTATATCTACTAAATATAATTATTACATAAACAGTAGATATATATTAATTTTAACTACACACCTGCTAAGTTTCCATATGTCCTTTGGTATATTGACTATACGGTTACCACCCAAATAAAGATATTTAATAGAATTCATCTCCAATACTTGCTCTGGGAAGGCTGTCAGTTGATTGCCACATAAATTAAGTTCTCTGAGTGTAGTCTTAGCCGAATAAAAACACTTTGGTAACGAATCATTGGTCAGCTGATTGTGTTTTGCAATCAGTGTTGTGAGAGGGCAGTTCTTGAGCACATCAGGTAGTACTGTAAGTCTGTTATTGCTTACATCCAATATCTTTAAGTTGCAAAACCTGTTTATGGTATCAGGCAGTATCCTTATTCTATTGTTGTACAGCAGAATTATCTCATAATTTTTCGCGCAGTCCTTTTCATTAACAATGCCTTTTAGTTCAGAAGATAAGGCGTTAGAGTCTAATGACTGGTAAGATAGATCAAGTGTTTTTTGTTCTCTGCTATCACTATCACAACTATCCGATGTATAACACTCCATTTTGTAGACTAGTTGCGCTGAGGCTACGCTGACCTCTATAATGAGCGCCAATTGTAATCACATTATCAATAAACGTCAATTGGTGTCGAAAGGAACCGACCACCTATCACGCCGGCGGCGCACGCGCAACTGCGTCACTCACCGCACCAACCAACCGAACGAGTTCCAGTAATGTTAAAGTCCTTCAAAAGATAAGGGGTAATACATTTTTAAACCTCTGAAGATTAACTCTGTGGATCAGCGTTTCTCAAATGCCCTAAAACGCTTCTTGGATGTTATTGAGAAAAGCAGCATTTGTTGTCGAGAATTAATGTAAGATAGTAGGTATGTAAATCTTAATAAACAGTACACATGCTATGTGGATCTATGGACCTATACTCAGTACATGTGTTATCATCATCAGCCATACACTGATTATCACAATCCTAGTGATTGCTCGATTTAGTTACCCAAATCTAGTGGGATTGGCGAATGCAAATGCGTTCAACGATACTTTCGCTATAGTGAGCGCATTTTCATCAGTTCACGTAAACAGTCGATAGAAATATGTTTACAAATCTTTGTTTTAAACTCATAATTTATAGCAATATATGGCAAATATAGCAATATAGCGTTGGAAATGCAAAATTTATCAACTATAATAATTCAAACACAATTTTACAAGTTACAAGTTTTTATTTTATTTTAGGGCTCAACAAGTTTGAAATTCGCTGCTGTAGATCATACAAAAATATATTATATCCGAATATGAGTACAATACCAATCCTATGGTGATAAAATGCATGCAGCATTATTATTACCACTGACAGAATTTGGACAGTCTTACACCTATAGTACACTGAGGTATTTGCGAAATCATATCATTTGTATTTGTATACAATGATGTATTAAAAAGTTTTATGCTTTGTCTCGCTCTATTATTAGAACGATGAAATAGTTGCGTACTTGTCAGTACGATTTCGCAATCAATAGGGTATTTGACACTATGGAAAATAAGTTGCATGTGGTGATCATCCTGATAGATAATAATCTAATAAGGCTTATTTCTTAACATTTGCAGAAAAAACATGTTTAGATTTAGAAAAATAACGTTAAGAAAATGCAATATTTTTAAGGAATTTATTCAACGACGAAAACGTCCTATAATTGGTCGTCGTCACAACCAATCACGATTCTGTTTACTGGCCTGTGACGTCATCACCTGTCATGTCAAAGTAGTGTTAAGATACATAAAATATCGATGCCTGTAGGTATCGAGTACTTTATAGTAATTAACTGATAACAGAATACTTTGCCGCTTCTACTGATAAGAACTGCCAAAAAGAAATACAGAAAGAAAGAATCATTTACTAAGCTTTTTAAAAAATCCAAGAAATATGGAAAACGCCAGCAATTTAAAAAAAGAGCAACATACATGCATTTCTCATTTCTTGAACTTTAATATAATAATTCAAAATTACAGAGTCGATTTTGATGATATATACTGTTCCCCAAGTTAAAAATTAATTTAAAAAAATAATCGGGTTCTGATATCTAATTATCAAATGCCATGCATTTAGTAGACAGACATACTACATACATGTATAAAAAAATAGAACATTCTTTTTCGTACTAATGTCTCATCCATCTGTAGGTCGACAGGCTGTAAAGTGCTGACAAGGCTCGCACAAATATTAATGAGTCGTAAAATGTTTATGACAAAGAAAAAACCAAAAAGGAAACGATATCGATATGAAATAAAAAAGTGTCAATACTTTTAGCAAATCTTTACCTAATTTTATCTCACCCATTTCTACTCTAAATAGCTACTATACTATTGTGATTGTAAATCTATTTTCTTCTAGACTCGAAGTTTGTTTGTTATAGTTTTAGTACATTGTGGCACTACGCACCACTTGTAGCTCATTTTTTAAAGAAAACCAGAGCAGAGGAAAATAAAAAACGTAAAAAATACGCACTATGACTTCAATTTCTCTTCTAAATTATTATTTCAATTTACTCTTAAGACAGTTGTTACTTATCGATTTGACATATTTACTGGCCTGTGACGTCACGATCAGCGCCATTACATAGAGCAGCGTTTTTCGCGCGCTTTTGGCTATTTTAATTTTAACAATTATTTTCACCAAAAATAGAAAAGATTCCAATGAAATATTATGACAGTGTGTTTATAATGTAGCAAACATCGATTTAAAATAGTTTTCAGAAAAGAGTCAAATACCCAATTGCGAATAAAGTCGTTAACCAAACGCAGATGTTTCGTCCCGCAGGACAGAGTACTCCCGAGAAAAGCGAGCCAAGCAAGATATCAAGTACAGAGGCCATTGGTCTCTTTCTAATAGGGCAGCAATTACATTTCAATGAGGGAGTAGGTATTTTAAAAAAAGTTCTTTAAATCATAGATGTCACTAGCAATTTTCGGAAAATTGTCTATAATATTCATTCAAATTTTATTTCGGACATACTAAAAGTTAATAAATATGACATCGATTCGTTTTTCTTATAATATCTAACTTTCAAATTAATTTTAATTTATTTGAGTCGTAAGTTTATGTTATTTATTATGTTACGTGCAAACGAACGATGTTTGGTTATTCGTCAACATTAGGATGAGCCATCTTATTGGTTACTCGTAACTTTCATCCGAATTCAGGTTTGGAATGAAGAACACGGTCCTTTACATTCCTTTCGTTCCTTTACACGTAACATAATAAATAACTTAAACTTACGATTCAAATAAATTAAAATTAATTTGAAAATAAGATATTATAAGAAACACGAAACGATGTCACATTTATTAATTTTCGAAATTCAATTTACTTTTATAACGTCTGAAACAAAATTTGAATGAATATCGTAGACAATATTCAAACATCATGAGTGACATCTAGTATGATTTCAAGAACTAATTTTTATTTTTTAAATACTTCCTCATTCAACGAACAACTAATAGTAACATAACTTACTTACCTATTTGTTATTGTTTTTAGAACTTTTATTAAATAATATAATGAAAAATGCCTAGACCAGCTTTGGCATAAGTATGTTATTTATAAAAACAATTTCACGGTAATATTATTGTATACCGTAGCTAAATGCTACTTTTACTAATTTTACAGCTTTAAGTCTATCGATTTCCATAACTTATAAAAAACCTTCTCTATGCTCACTTCCATTACGATAGTTTCCATTTTCCTTTATACAATTAAAAAGAAAGTTATTCATAGATTCGTTGGTATAAGGGCCAGTTTTTTGATCCGTGGTTAACTCAACCATTTGTTAAAATCTTTGACAAATGGTTAAATATCAGAAAAATATGTTTTTTGATTAATAGTTAGCCTAACCAATTGTCAGAATTACAACCATTTGTCAAAAAATTTAACCATCACTGGAAGCTAGGTTAAGTAAATGACCAATTGTTAAAAGAACAGATGGACAACTGCGTTGTATTTACTTGGTCCCTTGTTATTGTTTTTTACGTTGTTTTTATAACCAACATGATTTCATAGTGAATTTGGACATTAGCTATTTTTGGGATTTCGTTTTATGATGCAACTTCATAGGAAAATATTCATTGTCATTTTTTGGTTATAGGGTTATTGAAAATAAGTTATATTTTTATCTTGATCATCCTTAGTATATTTGAACTATATAGAAATAATTTTTCTTGTTTCCACGGGCAGATGCCAAATTATTCAATTATTAAAAATCTTATAAATTCCACGAATAGACAAGACAAAAGGTAAATATGCCTACAGTACATAAAATACATAGTCCTCGATTTATATTCCAACGTTACAATCCCACCTTGGATACTAGATACTATATTTTTTTCACGTATTTCTCTATAGGATAAATAAAAAACAAATATATGCTTTTTATAAAAAGTTAAGTTTAAAATAACTGGAAAAAACATATCTTTGTTGCTTTCTAACATTATTGTAGAAATTGCCTTATACTTCCTGAAAAATAACACATAGTGCACACAACAGAACAACCATAAACATCCACATTGCTTAATAATCTATAGATTTCTTTCGTCTATTTGATATTTAGAACAAAATCCTAATGTCAAAAATGGTATATAGTTCGCTCCGTTCATTCAAACCGTTAGTGTTGTCACTCAGAAAAAAATTACCCATGTCAATGTATAGCGAAAAAACGACTCATTGTGCTGGCAACAAATTGGCCAGTGGTTAAATTTGACTATGGTTAAATATGGCATCAAAAAACGAAATAGTGAGTTAACAACTTGTTATTGTTTTAACTATAGTCAAGTTTACAAATGGTGAAATGACATTTGACTACGGATCAAAAAACTGGCCCTAACTCGAGTTTAGTTACATCTATGCCCAGGAAATAAAATTTTTATTACTACTTTTAAAACATTAATTCAGATATGATTACACTATTGATTAAGACATTGGAAAAACTTCCTGAAATGTCAAAGGTTGTTGTTGTAGGCCATTCGGGCCTGCACCGGAATCGTCCATATTTAGCAAAACTTTACATCAAAAAGATAACAACTCAAACAAAACTATAAGAAAACAATAATAATAACTCAATCACGGAAACAACAGACAACTTAATTTGACTATTATGAATACATCATAATCTGACAAAATTTAAAAACTGGACTGCCGAAACGTTCGAAGGTATAAGGCAACGTTTTAAATTTGGTAGAATTATAATGATATGAGAATAATCCAACCATGCTTCTTTTAATTCTTTAAGATAAACACTTTTTATTGTAATAGTTATTAAATATTTTAGGTTAATCAATTACTGATTTTGTTCTAGAGATAGCTTGAACGACAACGATTAGGTATAGCAGCTGGTATTTAAGTGCATATGTAGCAAATTAGCCGTCAATCTAAAGAGTAACATGATTGTTGATATTTTGTCACAAACTATACCATAAAAAGAACCTTATTTAACTTCTGTCTAATGCTATAATGAATGGAGTATAGTTAAAAGGAACGGAAATTACTATCTTTGGCCCATTCGTTTCCTGCAAAGATCAACTTTTGCTATTGTCGCCATCTAGTGAGGTGCTTTTTTAGTGCTTTCTTTTTTTCTTAAAATACTTCCTCATTGCCTGAAATGCGTTTGTTACAAATGTCGTGGTCCCATGTAGCATTTGGGATTATATTATTACTTTATATATATATATTTATTATATATTTTTACTTTTTGATTCAATC